ATTAAATAAATAAAAATATTCTAATTTAACGTGACTAATGTTAATTAAATACTTTTATTTTGATTTATTTTGATTTGATTTTGATACTTTTGATTTTTTTAAATAATGCTAATGATGAGTTACTGATATTTGGTTTGCATAAAACAAAGTAATCACTAAGCATTCATTTTTGGCAAAATCTGCAGAGAGGCTCAGCGACACGAGGAAATGTGTTAAAGTTGAGTAGAGAACTAAAGAGCAGTCTAGCCTACTTCATTAAATGTTTGTGGTAATATTCTGCTGTCAATTCGTATTACTGTATTTTAATATGCAGCAGTGATGGCATGTCAGCGAGACAAATAAACATTTTATCGAGTCATTTCATACAATTTTTTTTTTTTTTTTTTTTTATACAAACCCTCTAGTGACATTTCCTCAAACTAAATCATCATAACGTTACTGTGCACAGCATCAGTAAAACGTTGAGAATAATTTAAATACTTAATTTTTTAAAACAGTCACTGCTGATTAGAAACTAACATTAAAGCTAAGCTTACAGAAATCCTGTATGCATGGCAATATAAAGATGTATTACTCACTGATGTCGAAGCACTTCCAGGTCATCAGAGATGTAGACAGGACAGAATATGTGCTATCAAATGAGCTCTTGTGCAGCCTTTGTTGGACATCCAGGTAGTATGTTCACCCACACTGTGAGAAACAAAAACAGAAACAATTTATTAAAATGTGAGGGATAGTAAACATGTTTGGTCTACAGAGAGAAGAAAATGTTTACTTTAAGCATTGATCCTAATGAATCTATTTCTCAACTACATTTAACCTTATCACGGAAACAGCATTTTTGAGCTTTTAGACCAGGGGTGCTCAACCTTGTTTGCTTTAAATTAGAATTAAAACAATAAATCTCTATGCCAAATAAAATACTTCAGATCTAAATAAAGCAGGTGCTTTTACCTAAAGGTTCCTTCCCTCCAGTTAGTTTGGCTGCAAATCCCTCCACATCTGTGCTTTATTCGGTTGTTGTCTTAAGAGTAACTGGTGTCGCATTCCAGGTCCATCACAATCTGAGCTAGAAGGACAATATGACAAAAGACAAGACATATATAAATAAGTCTCAGAATAAAATATTTAAAAGGATAGTTTACTTTTTTCCCAACATTACTACATGTGTTTTAAATCCATTTAAATTTCTGTTAAACACTAAAGCAGATATTTTGAAGAATGTTAGTAACCAGTAACTATTGACATCCATATTTGAACCAAATTTCTTTAAAAAATACGAGTTTGTGTTCAACGGAACAAATTAAATGTATAACTATTTTGAAACAAGTGGAGGATGCCAAAGATGCTATTATTTTCATTTTGGGGTGAACTGTCCCTTCAATTCAAGTGTCAAGCAATAGTCATAAAAACTGATGTGTCGCTTGAGGAAAACTAAATCAAGTACCTTCTTTGAACAAGCAGAATCATTATGCCATTGTATTCAGTGATTCTCTTTTACATTTTCCCACTATAAAACGAAAGCTTCAACATGCAATCCATGTTAACACAAAAATGAATAGCATAAAATAACATATTGAACAAAACATACAGTTTCCAGGCTGTTTGAAAAAAAGAAAAAAAAACACATACGCCCAGTAAAATTGCTAATAAACACAAAGACAACAGTTATAGAAAAAAATGTTTGTCTAATATTTACTCAGCACTTGATAGGCAAATAGCATAGCCGTGGCTGTTTTAACACCAGATTTTTTTTATCTTAGGAACTGCTGGAAGAAGAAAAAGAGGTTGTACATGAAACTCCTCACAACAAATCTGTGAACAACTTGACATTTAAAAATCTAATCAAAATGAGGAAGACATCAACATTACCTTGAATAATCAAGTGAGGAGCGATTGGTTGCATCAGTTTTTCAGCATCAATTACTGTAGCTGAAAAACAGATAAATATAATAAGAGTAAAATAAGACTTAACATTAATTAATCTAAATCTATGGTACAACCATACCAATCTGTATGGGGTTAAAATACTTTGGTACACAAATCATTCCCTGACCCCATCAATTTATCTTAGAATAGGATGGATATATATATATATATATATAGATATATATATATATATATAGTGATAATGACTTTGGCCTATATCTGTGTACTCAGAACGTACACTCACCTCAGGTACACCTGAACACCAAAATTTAAATGTACAATTAATGACACACTATACATCAAGCTCATTAACATTATAGAGAAATAGACAATTAATATGTATTTTGTTAATATTAACGTTAGCTTAAAATAATTCAACTGCATTTAATTTTCAGCTCCATTTAATAAAACAGTTAAGACTCATTTCATTATGAGTTCAGTTTAAATAACTAACTTACAGTTGAAAAATGTTACCATAATGATAGCTTAGTCATAATGACTATGTGAAGACCAGAGCATACCTTAACGGTAAACGTTTAACTTTTCATGGTGACTTCGCCTTCATCTCAGTGTTGTGCTGAAATAGAGAATTCATTAATGCAGTTACAATAAGTTAAAGTTATGTTTTTTTCAGGTAACTTAACGTATGGTCAAAAACTCACTCAAGATAAACTCACTGTATCTAATACCTCGCAAACACTACAATGACAGCCTGGCGTCTGTTATTTCTTGTTTAAAATACCGTTTGTTAACGGATAGCGTGACATAACATAAGAACCTACAACTAATGTCACTTGGTTAATTCTTTTAAATTACACACACAATACACAGAAATACTTATAAAACAATCCTTTAACGGACAGAATTTGACTTTAAAACACTTACCGAGGATGAATTCGCTGGATGAAAGACGACAGGTGAATTTCAAATTAGGAGAGCCGTTGCCTGCATGTCGAGTCGTGTCCGTTCGGTTCTATGAATCGGCTCCTTAGTGAACAGTAAAGAATCGAATCCGCTTAAAACCGATTCCTTTTTGTATATGATTCATTACTATTTCGTTATTCTGCCCAAGTGGTGCCCTCTCATTCTGCTTGGCCACACGCATTTATACACTAATTATACACTAATTGCATATTGCTGAATGTGCTTGTGAACACGTGTGATCAAATAATTCCTGAGCAAACGGTTCAATTCGGTTCAATACGATTCAGAGTTGCTCGAGTGCTGAACCGAACCAGTGCAAACGTGATATTAGGTGCGTTCGACATGAAGCTCAGCTGCAGCCGGTGATCAACGAGATTAGCCGAGCGCAGGCGGGGGCGGAGTTGAAAACGGAGCCGTCAAGACGGACAGCTGGACACTTCGGGACTCAAAGTTGCTGCAGTCATGATGACCGATAACATGGCGTCATCATATTTTTTTGTTATGTTTATTTATAACAACAAAACATTTACAAATAAAACAGAATACAGTCTCTACAAACTGTAGTTCCTTTTTAAACAATAAGAGAGAATTATGAATAAAATGTATAACAAATGCATGAGAGAAATAAGAGGAAATGAGAGGTTAATATAAACATAAAAACGAACAGGTCTATTAAATACAAAGCAATAAGCATAAATTCTAGGAGTTAAACATCAATCTTTAGGCTAATACTTCTTGTTTGAATATGCTAAAAAAGGGTTTACATATATGTACATTTCTAGATATAAAAATTTCCAATGTAAAAAGCAAAACAAGGTGTTTTGATTAGGTCTTAATAAATGACATTATTTTGGATAATGAATGAATTTTCAAAAAAAGCATTTTAATCCAAAAAGATTGTGTTGAAAAGAACAAAAGGTAAAATAAGTGAGCTATGTAGAAGTTTCCCAGAAGGGGCAGGTAGCCTTTAAACTGCTAGACAGGAAATAAAATATATATTATATTATATAAAATAAAACCATTTTATAATTATTTAATAAAATAGTTCTTCACTTTAATTTGTTAAGAGAGCTTTAGGGTGGCAGGATCAATGATGATGATTTTCTTATTTCAAGTCTGTAAGACTTATTAAGGTTATTCACTAAAATATACACTAAAATATATCATTTAAATCGTTCATGAATGCAGTAAATAGTCTGTATAAAAAAGTTAATAATAAACCTGTGCAAACAAGCAAACCTTTATAACCAGATTATTTAACAAAAGATGATTACTGCAGTAAAATATTTGTAGTCTTTTAATTAGCAAGATGTGTACAGGATAGAGAGGCTGTGAAAAGTGAATTGTTTGTTTTGAAACTTTTGAATCGGAATTTGTCCAATTATAAACCCGAAATACACGTGTTTGTTGTCATGTGGTGAACTCGGCCAATCGTGTAATATCGGTGTCGTCATCAAAGCTCCTGCAGTCGCTCTTCAGAAGCTGCATGGTCTGAGTTTGCCGTCTGATCTCGGAGCGCTGTCGCGGTACTTTGATGCCACATGTGACAGTCACGTGGCGTCGGCGCAGCATCAATCCGGACAAGATTTCTAACCAGAATGCACCGCTTTAAGACAGATTTCGATCGATCTGCACAGCGCTGCATGAAGTCGAACGCACCTATTGATTACAATATAGTAACTTTGTTTTTTATTCACTTTACCAGCGAAATTATTACATATATCTGACCTTGACAATAAGAATAAAGTTCGTTTGAAGTGTTTTGAGAATTATATATAAATATATATTGACATCCAATATATATTTATTCTCTCCCAGAATTCATTTCACATCAACAAGCAAATGGTAATGGCGGATGAGAAAGCCCAGCTAATATTATAAATATTGCGTTTAATATGTCACGAAATGAAATTTTAACAGTGTTTCATGCGAGAATGTAGTTCTTACAAACTCAAATCTGTGGTTTATTTATAGATATCATGCGTAAATTTTAAGCGTGCTTTGCCGATAGCGGAGATTCTGACCTCCAGGGTGTCCATCATCACTCATGTATCCGGCGAAACGAGGTTATAATCGGCTAGACATGTGTAACCCATCAGATAATGATGAGTGAATAATAGCCACAAAACTTAATCGGAACTCTATGACTCATTCAAACAGTTTTTATTATAAAGTACAAAACCAGTTACTCGTTAAAACATTGCATAAATGGGGCAATTTCAATTTAAAAAGAGAATGCTAAAGTAAGCAACACAAAATAACAAAACCTTCAGGGCAAACCTCAGGCCTACAACGGGGCAGGACGAAGTGTGAGAAGATGCAACAGATGAGAAGCTCTCAACTCCCAATAGCACAGCAATCACACTACAGCAACCACAGCACTCCAAAAATATACACAAATCACCACAAACCATTAAAGGGTCCCACCACCTCACCAGTGCCAGTCACACCCACGGAGGAGACGAGCGGCTGCCCTTTAACACACAAGAGTAACAAAACAAACCAAAGAAAAAGTTACAATAATATTTGTACACAGCACACAACAAACAGGGCCTTTCACCTAAATCAACAAACAAAAATAGTAACAATAGTCGTGCTAGTCCTTACATAACGGGACCTAACCGAAAGGAATTAAAACCCATCCCAGAGTTTCTTCTTAGAGAACCTTTTGAATGTAATTCACACAAGTAGTATATCAGTTAAAATCTGCCGACTGTGTCACCAGGCCAATCACCATTAACACGGGTGGGATTCTGCTTGATACCCACTTGTTTGTAGCCTCAATGAATGACAACCAAAAGCACGCTATGCTGTTGTGCGTCTATTTATAGCGCGTACTGACACCTGTTACGCTACGTTACGCTCTGCTACGGACTTATGGGAAATGTAGTGCCAAGCCCATACGTCGCCCCATCACAATCCACCCCCCTAATCTGAATCGATGTCCCATCGATAAATCATTTCACACCCATGGCCTAAACAAATAACCTTGGGGGCTGCTGGATGGCCTCATCACCGGGACAGCTCTTTGTTCATTACTGCATGCTGACTGGGGAAGGTGGTATGGGTTCCGATGGCATCCTGCAGTAGATCTCTGTGTGCGTCTTGGTTCTGTATCAGACCGAACAGATGTTGGCACCACACTTAAATTCCTGCTTAAATCAGGCTGGGGGTTTCCTATACATTCCTCAGAGCATACATCTTCTGTTGGTTCTACTATAACAAAGATAGGTTCCACGCCCGAATTAGATTTTTCGTCTCTAATTTGAGGGGGCAACCCAGGATCATCTGTAGAACTACAGACCGGCCGCAACTCACATCTGTGTATCCTCTTAACTTCACCACTTCCATCTGCTGGACATATGGAGTATACAGGGCCTAAACCATCTGGACTTCGGACAATCCTGTATAAAACTGGATCCCACACATCCTGAATCTTATTTCTGCCCTTGCTTTTGTGTGACTTCCGATACACCAATTGACCTTCTTGCAGAAAATTGTGACGTACCTTTTCATCATTGGGTCGAGCTCGTTGTTCTGCTGCAGCTTTCAATCGGGCTCTAGCACACTTATAAATTTTCTCCAAATTCTCTCGATGTTGCACGATCCAAGGTTCTCTACTAGAATGCAAATCATCCTGGCCCAAGATGAAATCGATTGGTAATTGTGGGTCCTCTCCAAACATCAAAACATATGGAGAATAACCAGTGGACTGATGCTCTGTGGTATTATAAGCGAACACAACTTGTGAAAGAAAATCTGGCCAATGGAACTTTTTTTCAGCAGGAAGGGTGCGCAGTAAATCATGCATTGTCCTGTTAAACCGCTCACATTGACCATTTCCTTGAGGTCTATAAGGAGTTGTGTGGGTTTTCGCAATTCCATATATTTCACACAGTTCCTGGATGACTCTACTCTCGAAGCATCGCCCTTGGTCTGAATGGATTTGCCTCGGCAGGCCAAATAAATAAAACCAACGCTCCACTAATATCCGTGCCACAGTCTGTGCTGTTTGATCTTTGGTTGGTATCGCTTGAGTGAATTTTGAAAAGACGTCCGTCATGACTAGAACATTTTCGGTTCCATTAGATGATGGTTCTAAAAGTGTGAAGTCGATGGCCAAAATATCCAATGGTCTTTCTGCTTTAAGATGACCCATAAAGCTTCTAACTTTTGGTCGCACATCCTTTGCCAAATTACATCTTTGACACTGCTTACACCAATTTTCAATGAACTTGTACATACCAGGCCAGTAACAACGTGTTCGAACCAAACTGGCCGTCCGTTCCACACCCTGATGGCCATGATTGTCATGCAGACTACTTAGGACTTCATCTCGTAGAGCCTGAGGTAACACCACTTGCCGAAACTCTTTAAATCCATCTTGGGCTTGATACCTTCTATACAAGATACCCTCCACCTTTATTAACCGTTGCCACTGACGAACCAGCTCAATCACTGCCGAAGACTCAAAACTCCTCTCCCTTCGCGTTGGAGGCCTCTGACGATCCCAGTACTTAAGAAATTGACCAATCACCGGATCGGTTTCTTGCCATTCCCGCAGGCTGGTTTTCGTCTGAAGAGGAAGGGCAGAAATAGTTCTCACGGTTAATGCCGGATTTTCCTCACTGACACAATGCCTTACTGCCTCTGGGATCGATGTGGTTACAGAAATCTGAGACATTGACTCAGTGTATTGTCTAGACAGTGCGTCTGCATTGCCATTAAGTCGACCTGGCTTATACCTCACGTCCAAATCAAAGTCTGCTAATTGTCCCACCCAGCGCTGTTCCAATGCTCCAAGTTTAGCAGTCTGATAGTGACTCAGGGGGTTGTTATCGGTGTACACTATGCACTTATGTCCCAATAAGTAATCTCGAAACTTGTCAGCAACAGCCCATTTTAAAGCCAGAAATTCCAATTTCATTGAACTGTAATTCTGCATATTCCGTTCGGATGGCCTTAGACCTCGACTTGCAAAGGCAATAGGCCTAAGTGTTCCCTGATGGTCTTGAGACAAAACTGCTCCCAACCCTTGATGGCTTGCATCCACTTCCAAAATGAAAGGTTTGCTAAAGTCTGCATAGGCCAGGATTGGGGCACTTATTAACAACTCTTTCAGTGTTTGGAATGCACTCTCACAATTTTTTGTCCAGCTCTTCTTCACACACATCTTTGAAGACTTTCCCTTTTTACTAGAGGAGACTTCTGCGACTAGTCGATTTAGGGGGCCTGCTATGCCCGAAAATCCCTTAATAAACCGTCTGTAATAGCTGGCAAATCCTAAAAATGACCGAAGCTCCTGGACATTTTCAGGCCGCTTCCAATTTGCCACAGTTGCCACCTTATCGGGGTCAGTTCCCACACCTTCAGCAGAGACGACATGCCCTAAATAGGGGACTTTAGGACGAAAGAAACGGCACTTACTGAGTTTAACCTTTAGATTTTGTTGTCGCAAGCGGTTCAACACCAATTCCAAGCGCTGCAGATGTTGATCTACGGAGGAAGAAAAAATAATCACATCGTCCAGGTATAATAGCAGGGATTGAAAACTTTGGTCACCAAAAATCCTTTCCATTAGCCGCTGAAACGTGCTTGGTGCATTACATAATCCGAACGGCATCCTATTAAACTCAAATAGGCCAAAAGGTGTGCAGAAGGCAGTTTTATACCTATCTTCTTCTGCTACCGGAACCTGATTATAACCACTGGCCAAGTCAAGTGTTGAGAACCACCTGGCACCAGTCAGCGCATCCAAAGACTCCTCAATCCTTGGTAATGGAAAAGCATCTTTACGAGTCTTGGCGTTTAACTGGCGATAATCAACACACATTCGTAAGGAGCCATCCTTCTTCTTAACCAGTACTATAGGTGAAGCGTAAGGACTACAACTCTCCCTAATGACTTGGCCATCCAACAGCTGCTTAATGTGATCTTTAACCTCCTCCAACTGACTTGGGGGAAGTCTACGATACCTTTGACGCACAGGGATGTCATCTAATAAGGGGATCTGATGTTCGATCAAAGAGGTACATCCCAAATCCCCATCAGTTTTTGCAAAAATGTCACTATATTTGCCTAAGAGGTCTCTTACCCGTCTTTGTTCTGATTCAGCAAGCCCTTGTAATTCTAAGTTAGTATCAAGTTCTATTGTGGATATGCTTTGCTGAGCCTGAACCAAAACGGTGAAAGTGTTCTCCACCCTTTCAAATGAAAAACCCTGAGGTTTTGAGGGGATCATTTCAGCTCTTACTAATGTTCCCAATCTAGCTCGTTGTGGTAGGCTAACAGGAATTGTACTAACATTCACTACTGGAACGAACACCATGCCTTGGCATAAACGGAGCAGGGAAGGGGAAATCAAAACTCCTGAAGGTAAACCATTACATCCTGATTCCTGTGGTTCCAATAATGCAACTGTATTATCATAACCAAACCCTTTTGGGCAAAGTGCTGGTACTAACCTTAATGTGCCTGCTGGAATCTGCACTGGATATTCCGACTGCACTCGCACATGACCAATAGAGTCAGCTGTAGAGGCATTCTCGACTCTCTGGCATTGCAGAAGGGCATTTTTCCATCCTGGTTCTGCCTGTTGAACTAAAGATGCTGAAAATAATCCTGGGCCATACTGTTCGAACAAATCACTGTAGCATTGGCCAATAACATTCATACCCAGCAGACCAGGTGTAGATGCCCTTCCTTGATGCAATGAAGTTTCAACTGGATCTTTAACTACCAGAACGCCTCTTCTTGGGATAGTTTGTCCCAACACCAACATGTCAGTCTCAAAGTATCCTACATATGGGATTTCTAACCCATTTGCAGCCTTCAACTGGAGCCAACTACATTCTTTAAGGGTTTCTTCACCCAACAGTTTAAAATGGCTAAGAAAGAAAGATTCAGTTATGGTAGTCACCATGGAACCAGTATCCAGAAGACAAGGAACAGTAACCTTCCCCATCTGAACAGTCACGCGTGGACACTGTCCAACCATACGTTGTAAAACAGAAGGGCACACTGGAATAGATAGCTTTGAGCCATCACTACCCATTTCTGTTGTCTGGCTCATGACAGCAGAGGGTACTAGTTTAAAGGCTCTTCCAAAGGGGTCTCAACCACATTAACCGTCGGTGACCTAGGTCTAGCGTCAACCGGCCAAGGCTGTCGACAATATCGGGCAATATGGCCGAGCTTATTACAGCGCAAGCACCTTCGAGAATTGGGTTTAGGGGAAGTGGTATTGACATGTTCAGATATAGGCTTAAGTTCATTAAGACACTTGGTAATAACGTCTATTTGCTCTTGTTGACTTCTAAGCATGTCTTTAATTTCACTGAACTCGGATAACTTATCCAACCTGGGTTTTGTTTCAAACTGGACTACCCTACCTTGTGTTCGATTACACCATGGTTGTAACATTGGCGTAGTGGACCCCATTTCTCCTTCCTCCACCCACCGAATTGCTTCACCCCTAACATCTATGAGAGAACAAGAAGGCTTTTGTCTCACAAATCGCTTGAGTTCACGTCGCAATGTTACATCGCTAACATGCTCTACAAACTGATCTCGTAATACTTGATCAGCATTAGGTACACCTAATGGATTACTACTCCGCACTGCCTCCATTAAAGACATTAATGAATGGGAGAAATCCATTAAGGATTCTCCCTCCTGCTGTTTCCTCTCAAAAAAAATTTGCTGGAGCTGCACAAAAGTCAGTTTACCCCGATACATATTCTTTAAAATATTAAAAATCAGTTCAGGTTTTTCCCTCTCAGCAGCAGGACGTAGCTTTATCTCCATCCTTGCTTCCCCTCCCAAATGATCCAGTAAAAACAATGTTTGCTCCCTCTCAGACCAACCTCTCCCCTCAATACACATAGTGGCCTCCTCAATCCACTCCTCCAGACTCACAGCTGAAGGATCAGATTGTCCATAAAAACGTGGGCATTTTCGCTCTCTAGGAACATACAGCACCCTGTTAAAAGAGGATGGAGGAGTATTAGAATTAATAGAGGACGATGGATTGATCGAATGTCCACTTGGTGAGGCTTGACTTCTTAGCTGATCATTCAATGCCTTCATACTACGCAGCTGTTCGCGCAGGTCCATTAATTCTTGCTGCAGATCTTCAGACATTCTGGAACAAACTCAAGCAGAAGTCACAGCAAGCCAACAATGTAGGATTGACTTCTAGGGAGATCAAAACAGCAGTCTTCTTGCACGACTATTGTTACCAGTACATTTACCTATTACTTACCAACAATAAATGGTGAAGCCCAAAAAAAAAAAAGAGAAAAAAAAAAGGTATATAAAAATTATAAATGTATATATATATATTTTTTTTAATGATCCTGCCGACTACGCCAAATTGTAACCCATCAGATAATGATGAGTGAATAATAGCCACAAAACTTAATCGGAACTCTATGACTCATTCAAACAGTTTTTATTATAAAGTACAAAACCAGTTACTCGTTAAAACATTGCATAAATGGGGCAATTTCAATTTAAAAAGAGAATGCTAAAGTAAGCAACACAAAATAACAAAACCTTCAGGGCAAACCTCAGGCCTACAACGGGGCAGGACGAAGTGTGAGAAGATGCAACAGATGAGAAGCTCTCAACTCCCAATAGCACAGCAATCACACTACAGCAACCACAGCACTCCAAAAATATACACAAATCACCACAAACCATTAAAGGGTCCCACCACCTCACCAGTGCCAGTCACACCCACGGAGGAGACGAGCGGCTGCCCTTTAACACACAAGAGTAACAAAACAAACCAAAGAAAAAGTTACAATAATATTTGTACACAGCACACAACAAACAGGGCCTTTCACCTAAATCAACAAACAAAAATAGTAACAATAGTCGTGCTAGTCCTTACATAACGGGACCTAACCGAAAGGAATTAAAACCCATCCCAGAGTTTCTTCTTAGAGAACCTTTTGAATGTAATTCACACAAGTAGTATATCAGTTAAAATCTGCCGACTGTGTCACCAGGCCAATCACCATTAACACGGGTGGGATTCTGCTTGATACCCACTTGTTTGTAGCCTCAATGAATGACAACCAAAAGCACGCTATGCTGTTGTGCGTCTATTTATAGCGCGTACTGACACCTGTTACGCTACGTTACGCTCTGCTACGGACTTATGGGAAATGTAGTGCCAAGCCCATACGTCGCCCCATCACACATGTGAGACTTGCCCCGGTCTTAGATGGCTCTATAATGAATGTGTTATGAAATTTAGTTTTAACCGTTTTTCATGCGGGAATGTAGTTGTTTTAAACTCAAGTCTGTGGTTTATTTATAGGGATGGTGGGTATTTTAAAATATTGTTTTGAAAATGCGGAGATATGTGACCTCATGGTGATGACGGGTGCCCTAACCTCATGAATCAGTCTAAAGCAGGCTGGTAATTATGACATTTAAGCTGACTTTGGTTTCATGAATCAATTACTTTTGTTCCAGTTTACGTTTTGGTTAAGCACAAAGTTATGTTGATTAAAAATGATTTAATATTTTCATGTTAACCCAAATATGGAAAACCAGGGGACAGTTTTATGCACTGAACAGTCTGAAGAAACTGGTTATTTTATTTTTCTTCACAAAATACTTTGTCAAAAAATAAAATAAACATAATAATAATAATATAAATTGTGTGTAGAGTTTTTCATGGTCATTTGCAGTACTGTATTTTGATGCACAGTAACTGATTTTTTCCCAAAATTCATTGTAAAATCTGCAGTAGCATACTGTTAATTATGTTCACAGTATGGAAATGTTGAGAATACATTATCATGCTGTGACAACAGCAATATATACAGTAACACACTGTGCAGTGCTTATACAGTAAACAACTGTTGAGAAATGCAGTATAATACCGTGAAAACAACAGAAATCGTTTACAGTGTGGGCATGCATGAAATGTTGCTGAATGAAAATTAAAGTGCCAAACTGCAGTTAAATTTGACAAATTAAAAATTAAACACCCAAAATTCCATGAAACTCCAAAGGAAATGTGGATATCGTGGTGACACAATGACGTTAATCGAATTTTGTGCTATAACATGTTAAGCGGGATCATGCAAGGTACATTTAAGAAGCAACTCATGTAAACACCTTGATCTATTATTGTCTTATTCAGATTAAGGCAAATAATTTGATTACTGATGCAAATGTAGTCAGTTCTGCACTTAAATAATGTGGCTAAAATCGACATATAGACCATTTTAAGAGATGTAAACAAAAATAGTGTTACCTATGCATTTCCTGTTAACTTCCGAAAATTCAAAAAGAGCCATATATAAAAAAATAATGTTATAATTGCTGTTTTAAGATTAAGATATGATTAAATTGCCTCTTATTACAGTTATGAACTAGTTTGACAACAGGAAATGTTCACGGGCCAATGACATGACCACATTGAATGGTCTATAATCCACTTCTTAATCCTATTTCTCTTTAGTTCAACTATGACCTTAATCAGATTAATTGATCAAAAATTGCTGTTTACATGGTAGACTTGTAATCAGAGTATTGCCTTATCACATTTAAATTTGATTATTGGTGTCCGTGTAAATGTACTCGCAGAAAGAGTATGCTGTCTGGGATTTTGTTGTTTTGTTTGTCCAGTTTTTACAAAACACATTTTTGTAGTTTTCTTAGAGAAAATAAAAATCCTTTTTAAAATAATAAAAACAGTTCATAGAAACACTCTTTACTTTTTTTATTTAAATTTGAAAATGTGTTTGAATGAAGCCTTAAAATGAAAAATGACAACCAGCTTCCTTTGGTGGACAAATTATTCACTTGAAGGATTTCATTTGCAGGTGACATAAATATATATATATAAAAAACTATTTATTTTCACACCCACATAATAGTCATTAAACGTGTCTGACAGAATATGTCAGTCCTTTAATTAAGCTGTCACTCAGTTAGGATGGATGAAGCAGATCTCCCATTAAGACTGACATTCTTGGAACAGTAATTGAAACAGAAATTTCCAGCTGCTCAAAACCAGTTTGTATAAGGCACACGTGTTTATTCCTCTCACGATGTGACGCAGATGCCAATAAGACTGAAACATTTTCTGAGTCAGAGCATTTTACACGTCTTTGTAAATTGTCATTGTCATCTGGTGTTGATGAAAAATATGTCTACTAATACACAAATCTGGTGTTTACATTAGGAAGCACATTTACAGTTGGAATTTGTCCTGTATCTGACTGCTTAACTCTGTCTGAAACAGTGTGCAGTGTTTGGGGGGTAGCTAGCTATTATACAATGTAGCTTTTTTTAGTATCTACTAAAGTTTGAACTTTGTGCAGGGCTTCAATAAAATATCATAGCAAAATGAAGCTACACATCAATTATTTTGTTATTGCATTGCTGCATTTGTTGCAGGTTTTTACTTTCTCACTTACAAAAACTGAAAACTGTGGAAGAAAAATGTACTGCTTTGAGATCTTAATTCTATTACAGCCTCTTAAATAGGTTCACAAATTACACTGAACAATTGATTTGTGAATTGGACTGACATCTGTTCTGATTCAACAATTCACTGATTCAAGGGATCTGTTCAGTGTGAGTTTCTGGTAAATGATTTACTGATTCAAAGGAACTGTTCAGAGTGAGTTGTCAGTAAACGATTCACACATTTTACACACTGATCTGAACTGGGTTCAGCATGTTAATGTGGTTTCATATGTTTGATTTTTACACAAATTATCTGTGTGGTTATCAAAATATGACAAGTTTTGGTATGAAAAATGTCTTGTAAAATTAACATTGATTAGGTTTTACTTTTACTATTATTATTTAAGTAAATTATAAATCAAGTTCTTTAGCACTTTGACTAAATCAGTAATATTGAAAGGGGGGCTTTACACTTCTACTGCAGTAATATTTTATTAGGGTATCAGATTTTAAGCATCCAATTTGTCTACTTTGTTCACCACTGATCGCATTTCATTTATTTGTAACATATAATTTTTTTAAAATTCTTTATTTAGGTTTAGGTTAGGTTTAACTTTATTTGTCCCCGAGAGGAAATTTGTCTTGGGCATAAAAGGTGCTACAACATTGTCTAAACAGACAGTAAAAATAAATAAAACAAAACAATTAAGAACAAACAGTTAAGAACATACATTGTTTACAGAGTAAGACCGTATATAAATATATAAAACACAGAACCCAGTCAAGTGCTAGCGTACTGCAGGAGCAGTGTTATTGGTAGAGTTCAACAGTTTTATGGAGGTAGGAACAAACGAAAGCTTCAGTCTATTAGTTTTACACATTGGCATTCTCAGTCTTTTTCCTGATGGTAACAGCTGATATTCACTGAAAAGGGGATGTTTAGAATCAGTGCTAATACGTATTGCTCTTTTTATAGCCGCCTGTTCGTATAGAGTCTGGATGGGCTCATATTGTTTTATTCCTATAATTTTCATGGCTGTTTTTTGTATATGAACCAATTTATTTTTCAACTGAACAGACAGGTTTCCAAACCAGACTGTGATTCCATAGCGAATAAGACTCTCAAAATATTTATCTTTATTTAATCTTTAAAGGAAAGCTAGTTAATGTTTGAGACAATCTTTGCAAAAAACATTTTAAAGATATCTTCTATTGTGTTAAACAGAACTAAATAATAATAATTATAATATTTTTTGAAGGAGTAAATGATGACAGAAGTGTCATTTTTTGGGTGAACTACACCTTAAGCTTTATATATAAAGATTTCATTTTTACATGCAGAGTGAATTTTGGGGGGAATATTTAATGGTCTTATTAGATGTTTTCCTAAAATCCCCTATTAATTTCTAACCCTGGTGTGTGCACAGCAAGGGTTAGCAGAGCACAAACAAGTTTGTTTACATCAGTGCACGGATCTCTCATGAACATGTGCCCACTTACACTGAGAAGAAGCTGTTGAATAAAGTAATTATTTTTAATTATGTATACACTAAAGAATTCTTGTAGATTTGATAATATGTTTATATGATAAGCTGTTTTGACGATGCTTTTTGTTACCTTTCTTCACTTTAAATGAGTCGGACCATTGCCATCAATGGAGGATGAGAGAGCTTTCAGATTTCATCCTAAATATCTTAATTTGTTTATAAAAATGAATGGTGTTCTCAGAGGTTTAAAACAACATTTGTGTGAGTAATTATTGAAAAACATTTATTTTTGTTTGAATTATCCCTTTAATACCTTGCAACTAAGCAAAGGGTTCCATTGTAAATGTCCACAATAGTGCAAATAAAAAATCGAGTGAGCTATTAGTCTATTATTAGTAATGAAACAAAGATATATATATGCAATGTGACATGAGTAGCAGTGCGATGTGGCTGTATATCGGCGACGATATACAGCCACGAGTGTGATAATGCGTTTATACAACTGTTCAATGTCATAATTGTGTGTATTAAAAAAAATCAAATATGGAGAGTCTCAAAACCCTTATGACAAACTAGTTTCTTCCACCATTCCTTCACATTTATAGCTGACATCAGCAGAAACTGTTGTTCATTAATTAACATTACTTTTGAGCTAGTATTTGAAAGATTCTCTAACGTAATATATAGTAATGACAAAACAGGTGATTTCACTGACATTTAAAAAAAAAAAGGCTGAACGACAGGAAATGCCTTCTCACTCAGAGATTTTCCAGTATCTCTCTGTTGCAATTGAGAGATCACAATGTTATTGTGGTATAGCACTACAACATACAACAGAGAGAGATCACCTTAAAGTAATTTACATATTTAATAATGATTTGATCAGCTGTAGTTTGAAATTATGCTGTTTATCTGTTAGGGCTTATTATGCGGTCTATGTTGCCACCTTGTGGATGAACATCATCAACCATCTTTGCTCAAAGACAGGCTAATGGCTGTTAACGAGCTGTTTCTCAGAAATTATACATATTTTCAAATAGGCATTATCCTTATGAATAAACTGCATAGTTGCAATCTAAACAACTACTTTCTCGCCTAAAAAGCCTCAAAAGTACATTATGTTGCCTAACAGCAGGAATATTTGTCAAACTGTAGACAGTCCTCTGCTTGTCGCTGTAGGTGGGCAGAGTAATCCACAAGGGTGAAAGGTTAAGAGGCTGGACGAGCGCTGTTACTGTCAGAATATTGGACGGCTATCAGCCAATAAGTTTAAAGAACCAGTCAGAACTGTTGTATAAATTTTTATATATTATT